GAAAAAAAAATCATTGAAGATTTTTCTAGTCAGCAGTCATTTTAGAATCTTTAGCCGTATGGTAAAAATATGGTCGTATTAATGTAAATATTATGAAACTTTAAGAGAAATATTAAAAAGTAACGGCAGTTTCTCTTTTATGCAGATGCAAAATTCAATATATGATCGGATCTGATGCTTTATCTGCATATGAAACGGAATTAGCAAAATAGGAAAACTTTAGACTCTGATGTTCGAACAAGCGTCTTTCTAAAGAAAATAGCTACCCTCTTCTCAAGCGTATTGAAATACGACATGGATGTCAAACTAAATAAATGTTTCTTTATTCTGTTTGTTTTTCAAATGAAATCTACACTAAAATATTTCGTTGAGAAATACAAAATAGAGAAAAAAAAAAGATTTCTTGATAATACTCATGTTTCTTATTTAGAAAAAATGAAAATTTAATATACCTATAGTCGATTCTGTAGTCATCTCTATTGTCGAAATAATTGATTCCATTGTTACTGAAATAGTATTCGAATATGTTGTTGATGATTCTACTAGCATACCAAGGACAAAAGAAAACAAACATGTTTTGAAAACAATTAAATATTTCATATATTCTCACCTGTTATAGTTTCGCTTCCTGATCCATCATAATTTATTGTTGTATCATCAATAACAACTCGTTTAACTCTATTATTTATATTTTCAATTAATTTTTCATGTAGAATATCATTCATATCATTATCATCATATAAAAATTTAAAATCATCATGCGAATGTATATTCATTATATACACAGTAAAGATTAATAAATAAAGAAAATATTGAATAATTTTTATCATTATGATTAAAGTCAAATGTTTTATTTTATATTTATTATAATATTTTAGATAATAAGAATAATCAATGCGATAAATATTCTATTGAAAGAATACTTTTATATAATTTCTTTTCTTCAGCATGGCTTTACTCCTACATACTGAAAATATGAGTAATGAATGTTAAATATCACACAATTATTAAAATGAGCAAATAACTTGCATACATTAACATTTCACTGGCAAATTATAGTGAAACCACAGTAAGAAAAGAATAGAAAAAAAAGTAAACTTACATCTTTATTTGTCTTCCAGCAGTCAAGGAATCAAATTTTGAATGAAAATAAATGGAATCTACTTGGTTATATTTCTTGATTCGTTCTTTTCTTTTTGAATTTTTTTTTTCTTCAAAATTAATCGATCGAAAAGACTCAAGGATCTTTATTTCAGTAAGGATATATATGTATATGTATACATGTATACATTACAACCAGACCACTAATCAACTGTACTTGTCTGACATTCTCGTTTCTTTCTTTTTTTGTCGCATACTTACAAAGAATTATATATGTCCGATTGATTCGTTTCAATTCTTTTTTTTCTCCTTGTCATATAAACAATATATGAGTAATCAAGGTAAAAAAAATAATTATTGGTATTGACAACACATCTGCGTCGGTCAACTACTTTTTCATGCATTGTATCCATTATTTTTTAACATAATAATTTAAGATTGAAAGACAAATCAATACGTTTTTATAACTGTTAATAACATTGAAATAAACTATGATTTTTGCTCCGTATTTTTTCTTGCAGAAGAAAAAAGAAAAAAAAAAATTTTTTTGATCTACAAATAGGTCACGTTGTTGTAAATAGAATTTTGAAAGATTTATTCAATTTTAAATTGATTAATTCAATTATACAAAGAAAAAATAGATGATTTTAGAAAATGTTAACAACTATTTGTAATTTTCATTAATTTACAATACTAAAATAATTGCTGAAATATTTAGATATAGTTTTCTGATCAAGAACATTGTGTAGAATTTATTTTTTTATTTTATTTAAAAACGCATGTTTGGAAGTACAAAAAGAAACTATCAACAAATAGAACGTAATTACTTCCGACATTTGTTTTCTAATCGACTTTCCTTTGTAGAATCACTGGTGAGTCTCCGACGAATTGTAAAATTCCGAAGATTCTCAGCTAGTCAGCAAAATAATCTCCAGGAGTTCATTATTAATTTTCTGAAGTACCTGACAGTAGAAGGTGACGTCCTTATTACTTGCATTGTGCTGTTAGCAACACATGGTGCAAATAAAGTAGTAGTATTCTTTTTCGCTACCCTTTTCACTACAAGAGGAAAGTTAATGTTTTAATTTCATCGTTAGCTACTGTACTCATGGATTATATCTTGAACAATACAGCATATGTATCGAGAGCTTCAGTGTCTACCTAAAATAAGAGAAATGCTAGTGTTTTGATCTCATCACTATTTATTTAGATCAATAGCAACGACAATTAAAATGACAGTCTATTGAAAAAAAAAACAAATGAAATGTTGTTTTCTTATTTAGTTTGATCCCAAGAACAATTGCAAAAGTTAGTGCTATTTTAAAAATATCAAATTGAATTTTTTATATTGACGAAAGATGATAGTCACTGCTTCGTGAATGATGAGTGATAAAGTTGGATACGATGATAAAAACATCGTTTATGACTATTTACAACGATCGCAATTCTCATCGTTCACTTCTGAGAACTCTCTATGTAAGTCTCTGGTACGCTCCTGTGTAATATCTTGTGAATTTCCTGATAAGTGTTTCTGTAATGGTAATTGGCTACAGTTATCATAGATTGCTACTTTATTCTTTTCAAGTTCTTTAGACTTTATTTTGATTCGTCAAACTTATGAATCAAAATTTTTCTCTTCTCAATTTCGTACAGATCGTTTTTTTTTCGATAGGCTTCAAATAGTTTTTATTGAATAGATGTGAGGTACATTCGGAGAGTTACTAAATTTAGGTCCATTTGTTATATTTCGGTTTGTTGTTTAACCATTGAAGACAATCCCAACACTACATGTACTATCCTAATGAATACACTCATGTTATCAAAAGTCGTCTTTTCTAACAATTAATCGATGCGTATTTGAGCAAATATGATTAAATAACAGTTTTCAACAAATTTCAACAGTAAGTATTTATTTATAAATATTTTTTTTCTTTTATTGAGATTAATATTAACATTAACATCAATAGTAGGTATTTGTTGATATATATATATTAAATATATTCCGCAGTGTCACATATCCAAAATTTTGGAGATGCATCCACGTCTAGCGCTGAAGATGTGGCATTTACTGCGAGACATGTGAGTGTGGGTGTGAGGGATGTGCATCTCTAAAGGAGATGATACATCTTCAATGGAAAATGACCGCGTCTCCTGAAGGAGATTCCGCGTCTCCAGCGGGAGATGCGGCATCTTCTGCGAGAGATGTGGGCGCATTTCCAAAATTTTAAATATGTGACACTACTCTATAATACTCAAAGGTACTGTTTTATTCAACTGCTGTTATGATGTACTGGTAGCAGAGTAGTATCCTGAATTTAATACATGGACTAGAATGGCTTAATTTGACTAAAACACATAATTGTCTTTTTTATGATGTTTTTCAATAAATGATAATAATCTTTTGTTGATATATTCGTTTAAATGAATTTTGCTCATAGTTCCTTATTCATTTTTATGAAGATAAATGTTGGATTAACAAGGGAAAAACTACATGGTAAAAGATTGATAATAGTTCTCTATAAACATGATGATCTACAAGGTTTAATTGTTGCATCAACTCCTATTATCACTGAGGCTAATTATATGATCGACTTTCTAC